GATTCTGAAAGGTCTTTAAAAAAGAAAGTAGAAAGTATAACATGTACAGAGTGTGGTCATATCATTGTGTGTCCCTCCTTTCAATTTTTTCTTCTATCATTTGCAAGCCCAAATTCATTGCAGAATCACGATTGTTTGTTTACTACAGCATTTTACTGTATTAATTAGACTATCCTCACCCGTGTATGTTTCGACAAATATCCGTTTCTAGTACATTGGAATAAGACGGTAAATAGAAGAATGTGACTGAGTTTTGAAAATTGACATAGCAGCGTAATTTGATAAACCCATTTTTGCTAATTTTGAAATGCAGGAATCATAAAATCAACTTCCCTCATGAAAAGAGATGAATCCACATCAACGGTATCATTGACAACAATACCATACGATGAAGTTACAACATTTGTTCAGGGACGGTCATCCTTTTCTTACACCATTAAGAACACCGTTAGGGAACAATTATCTGCAGGGACAGAGTCATCAACGACAATTACTGGAAAAGTGTTATCTAATCCCACAGGGCCATCAATACCAATTTCAACGGATGAAACTTCATCAACTTTAGGTAATTGTTATGTGATTGCACACAAGGCTTTGTCATCAGTGGTGACTATGTTATTAATTGATCAAACTGTTTATATCCAATACATTGATTTTAAAACGTTGCAGAGTTGAGGAATTAAAGATATAATAATTTCATTACTTGTAGGTTTCACAAGAATCCGTAATTTTAATTGGCAGAAAACAATCGCGAGGCATTTTAAAATTAGATTGTATTTCCCAATAGAATACATCATTCATTACATAACGTGATTCCCATGACCACGTCACAACAATACAAGGGAATTCAAACGAACAAATTGATATGATTCGTAATTTGATGGTTATAGCATAAAAGTGTTATTTGAAAAATCAAATGTTGTGTATACCTATTTAGATTGTATTTCCGAATAGAATACATCATTCATTACATAACGTGATTCCCATGACCACGTCTAACAATACAAGGGAATTCAAAGAACAAATTGATATGACTCGTAATTTGATGGTTATAGCATAAAAGTGTTATTTGAATAATTAAATGCTGTGTATGCCTAAAAGTATAATAAAATGCGAGTAACGACAGTCAACACAATAAGTACAAAAGCTAGATATGACCAAAACTGAAGGGGAAAATTGGGAATGACAAAGAACAGTCCACAGAACATTGCAATGACAAATATACTAAATCCTACACAAATCACAATATTATAATAACTTCGAAAGGATTTCTTCAACTTTATATAAAGACCATTGTTTCAATAGTACCATTGCAAGCAGCAACCATTTATCAATATATATTCATTGTGGAATCGCTTAATCTCGAATACTATTTCACACCTAAGGTACATAATACATATACAAGTCCTGCTATAAAGTTGCAAATTGAAAATGAAAGATCACACAATGGGAAAATTGAAATTATCTCCTTTGTGTGCAAACTGATAGTTGTCATTTGACCCCGACTTACAATTTAAAAATTCAGATCCAAGTATAAAACGCATCCAACTAAACCCGGATATTAAATTTCAAGTTCAACGAGAAAGATGCCATCAGCAGAGTCACAAACTTTGAACTTATGTCGTTCATTTATCATCGTGGTTGCAAATTTTCGTGAAATGTAAACAAAATGTAGTTTCTTAGTAACCTTGATTTCGACTTTTTCTCTCTCAAATTCTCAACATCGGCCTATAAGAATTTCGTATGAATACCTCAAAAATAAAAAAAATGGATCTACAGTATTCAATGAGGGGACATCGTCTTTATACCGGAATATGCACCAAAATGATAATGCTAGCTTATAGTAAAATTGAGAATGGAAATGGGGAATGTGTCAAAGAGACAACAACCCGACCATAGAGCAGAAAACAGCCGAAGGCCACCAATGGGTCTTTAATGTAGCAAGAAACTCCTGCATTCGAAGGCGTCCTTAAGCTGGCCCCTAAACAAATATGTATACTAGTTCAGTGATAATGGACGTCATACTAAACTCCAAATTATACACAGGAAACTAAAATTAAAAATGATACAAGACTAACAAAGGCCAGAGGCTCCTGACTTGGGACAGGCGCAAAAATGCGGCGGGGTTAAACATGTTTTTTGAGATCTCAACCCTCCCCCTATACCTCTAGCTAATGTAGAAAAAACAAACGCACAACAGTACGTACAGTAAAACTCAGTATAAGAGAAGTCCGAGTTCGATGTCAGAATAGGAAACAAAAGAAAATAAACAAAATGACAATAATACATAAATAACAACAGACTACTAGCAGTTACTGACATGCCAGCTCCAGACCTCAATTTAACTGATTAAAAGATTATGTCTTCATCATATGAATATCAGGCACAATCCCTCCTGTTAGGGGTTTGGTATTATACCGTCATAAAATATATGAGAAGAACATAACCCGTGTCATGCCAACAACTAGTTTTAGAATAAAAAGATGCAAAGACCCTATAAGTGAATTAATATTAAAGCCAAAATATGCAATCTTTAATGACCTGACAACAGTATCGTAACTATATCCCTTCTTAATAAGTCTGATTAAAGGTTTTGTTAGCTTTTGAGGTGAATATTGACATTTTTGTGCTTTGTATAGAATATTACCATAAAAAATTGGATGTGAAATACCCGAACGTATAAGATATCTTCATTTTGAGTTTTATTTACGAATGATATCCTTATACCGATGATAAAATTTAGTAAATGTTTTGACTAGTTTATGATATCGAAAACCCTGGTGTAATAATTTTTCAGTAATACATAAATTTCTCTCGCTAAAAAGTAAACACAAAAGTTGGTTCCTTTATAAAACCTAGCAAATATACTGTCCATAACTTGATAAAGGATATTGGTTATTGAGTATTTAGTATTCATTCAAATGTGGTCATTCTCGAAAAACCAGGGTTGTACTAATATTTTTAATCACGTAAGTTTTGAACGAACTGCCGAAATATGTTTATAATGTAGTTTTGAAAGGCTTCTTATAGCATATGACAGACTAAACAATATTAAGTTATTTCAAGGGATATTTGCTATTTTTGGTATATGGCAGTGTAAATAAATATTCAGTTCATCGTTCGTTATCTTTCAGGATTTCATCTTTGGAAAAATGTCCTGTGGGTAATAATTCGGATTATATTCATAATTTTATTTTTCATTGTTCTAAACAAATTGCTCTATCAAGTAAAATTATCGAATAAAGTAGGAAGAAGCTCATTGAATGTTGTATAGTTTGCACAAAAAATCACTGATGTTTACTTTTTTTTGCAGGTACAACTACAGTACAAGTAGAAATGAACACATTGTTTATTGAAGACGCAACTCATAGTGATGGAAAGACATATAATCCTGATACTTCTAATTCTAGTAGAACAACATCTAATATATGTCTCTGCTGGTGTAAAAATCATGAAAATGAAACGTTTGATGACTTTTACGAGCGAATTGTTGTGCCATTGAAAGTCAATAAAAAATCTCTATCATCAACCATTCGGAAGTTAACATGTGCTAACGACAACAGACCATCAGCAGCACGGGTCGGTTATGTTGGTGTAATCACGTTACTTCTCGTTATGTTTACTTTAGTGGCATTGGATTTTTCTTCTCTAGCAAATCAGGTAGTAAGACGCTTAAGACAATACACAAATTCGCCTAGTAATAGATGAGATGTAAAATATTATACTACGTTTTTCTGACTTAATAACTTGAATATGATAAAGCAGTGATAGAAGTGCATTACTGTGTTTATGATCAAAACGTGCAAGAATATTTTGTATAATTTACGTTTACAAACTGTCATTTCAAGCCCCAAAGAGAGCAAATAGACTACTGATATTTAAACCAAGAGAATGAAAAGATCATTATTATTCTAGTAGTCATTGAATATTACAGTATAGCTTTATGACCACTTCTACCTTCGGCAGTCATTAATCAGTTTACTGTATGTTTGCACAAATGCTGGTAAGATGAAAGACCATGAAGTTATCGTCAGTTCAGTAGTGCGTACAATATGACATGATTTTTAAACACTGCATAAATTTTCATAATTTTTTTATAATTTAGAATATATTAAGAAATTAAGGTTCCAACTCCTTCAGGCAAGTTGACATAAAATTAATTTTACTACTCTTTTTATGTCGGTCATAGTGCTCCTCTTGTATTCAGATGTTATATATTCTTGTCATTAATTTTAATGGCTTAAACGTTCCTGATGAAGGTGAACTCAGAAAAGCGGTTCGGCGCACCAAATTGAAAAAAAAGTTTTGTATTCATTGTCGTTAAAATTTCGATGATTAAGACCCCATTCTATAGCAATCCCAAAAACGTCATTCCAATAGAATATTTACGTCTAGTAAGCTTATCAAGTTGGCTTAATATTTTGCCAACATAAACAAATGTTGCAAATGATAGTTAAATTTTCCCGAAAATGATTAGTAAAATAGGCCTTCAGCCTTTTGGGCCGCTCATCCCGTACCAATTTAAAGTTTTAGTTTTAGGTAGTTAATCATAAAGTTGTAATCACATCAAGTTGAAAACAAGTACATATGTTCATCATAATGTGAACTTTTTTAACCAATATTTGATCGATGGGTAAAAATGGTGTTTACATGTTATATGATATATAAAACAATTAGTGAGCAAGAAATAAAGGCAACAGTAGTATTCCGCTGTTCGAAAGTCATAAATCGATTGAGAGAAAACAAAAAACAAGAAACCGCGATGAAAATAAGTTAACTTATGTTTACTTTGGATCATAATCTAGCAATAATAGCTCTGATTTTTGCCCGAGTTTGGTCAAACCGATGGGACTTAATAAAGAAAAAACACATTGACTGTTTACTGCACATGCGTAGTTTTACATGCACTCCAAATCAAATGTTTTGAAGATTTTAGGAAAACTAAATTGTTTCCAAAAATTAATTAAAGTGTTCGTTCATTGAAAAATCGTACAATGATGAAAAATTATAAACATATTTAATTTGTATGGAATGATACAATAACAAACAATGGTTGCTCCTGAGATTATACTGTACAATATTACTGTTTAATATATGGTTCTTTAAACCAGTGAACAGTAATATATCTTTTTCATTGGAACGTTTTTATACCTAGCAGATAGTTTACTGTATGATAAGATATTGTACAGGACATCAAACTTAATTCATAATATTGCATAGATATCTAATGTCCTTATATTTAAATTATAGTTCTATCACATTTCTTTTATCTTCTATCTACAGAATGTCGACGAATTAATGAAACGTCAATAAAAATACAGTTACGTCACAACGATCCAATCATTGCATTCTTGTTCTTAAATCAACATAGGATGCTTGAAAGATTTTGCTTCCAAAATCTCTTTTTTCTTATGTTCATATTTTCTCTTTTTTGTATTTTTTAAATTCCGAAATAAAAATTTTTAAAGTTGTCTGCTGTCATCGTTTTCATCATCACTAAACGAACTTCCGTCATTTTCTTCATCTTCCTCTTCAGATTCAAAAATAGTATCGGATGGTTCAATTATGTGTATGGAAGGCACCTGAAACATTTTCGACTTATTATCTTCTTCATCAGAGTCTGACTCCATCTTGTCATGTGACAATACTATGTTTGGATCTCCATACGGAAGTGAAACACGCGGATCGTGTAATCTTATACAATTGATTGATTTATCTAGAGTCTTCTTTATGGACAATCCAAATTTCTTTGATCTTTTCTTTCTTGGAAAAGCTGGAATATATAATCAGATTTATACAAAGGTCATTTAATACATTTTTAATATATGAAACTGACAAAAATTTATAATTTGACAACAAATACCATTTTATCTGGAACCTCCTAACGGCCCCCTTGTCCGGCAATCAAATACGAAATGTTTTAATGATAATAAAAGCATAATTTAAAAAAAGATAATTATAATAACATATTGAGTTGTTTCATTGTCTATCATACCACATATTCTTATTTTTATATATTTCATATATTGTTTACAAATGAAATATAGATATTCACAGATGTAGCACACAATATCATTGTCACAAGCAACCACTGTATGTGGACATAACAACCATTGGATACAAAGCCAATCTGTGCAATGGGTATCTTTATAGCATTTGGGGTGTTATTAGGATCAACAGATAAGCGTTAATATACGAATATTACTTTTAATTGTACCTTTAAACATAACACGCAAATTAAGAAACAAATATTTGGGCAAAGGTAGATTGGATTGTAACTGTGACAAATGGAACATATCCGTAGTAGGAAAAAAAGGCTGCACCACAAAGGAGACTATATTATCTTAAAACGGAAATTTGCAGCTATATGGTGGCCGATAAAACTCACGTATTTCGTTTATAGCTGTCGATAATTTCCAGGTAGGTATTCCTTCTTCTTCACATAACTTTTTTACTCTGTTCAAAACGTCCTAAAATTTATAAAATTCAAAATGATAATAAAATAACGATTATAACATAATCTGATGAAAAAATCCAATATTGCAGCAAGAATTACTTAGTACTCTTCCGGATGTGTTGCTAAATCAAATTTTCTGCTTAGGGCTTTTTGCACTGGTTTTAATTGTCTTTTTTTCTTTTGCAAGCCAATTTTCGACTAACAGTTTTATATTCTTCCCTTTGTATGATCTTCGCGTTGTCCTACAAAAGTAGTACTAACTGGTATTCGTTTTGTTAAACCAATATTTATATGTTCATTATGATACCTGACTTGAAAAATGTAATATGTTTATCATGATGCCCGACTTAAAAAAGCCTTATTTTGAAAATATGTCTGCTGTGTAGGTATAGAATAGTCATTAATTCCATCTGATTCGAAGTAGTTACGTCTATTTTAAATTAGAATCAGGTTTCCAAATTGATTATTTTTTTGAGTAATTGTTATTTTGTATTATGAATTTTAAAAGAACTTTTTTTTTATAAATATCTCTAACAAAACTGAATTGGTTGATGAAAAATACCGTTAATTTTAACAGCTGTTATTATCTAAGGAGTAATAAAGATTGATGTACGACTCTTTTCCTACAGATCTGCAGATTTTTAAACTGCAACGATAAAGATGGCGTCATAGTTCGATAGGAAGCGGTATCATTTCTTTAGTGTTTTATTCTGAAACTTGCATTCCGGAAAAAAGTTTAACTTCAATTTCGTAGTAATATTTGGATGTTTCTTAAAATTATAACGAATACATAACAAATACCAGGGTATTTTGATCTCCTGGGTATAAAATTTTTTATAGATTTCTATTATTATTTTGCGTTACTTCAAATATGGTCCTTCGAATGTAATTTAACATTTTCATTCTGTATATAAAAAATCTAAATTAAAGTGTAAAATAAATATGATAAATACGAAGCAAATGGATAAAAATTAACATAATCTTGTTTTTTGCCTGAGAAAATAATCGAACCTATTTGGATCCACAGAAAGGAATAAAATGAAATAATTTATTTCCAGTTGTTGGTTTTTATTTGCAACACAGATATAAACTAACCTGTTAATCAATCGTTCCTAATTTTAATTTTGCACTTTTCGAACATAACAAAGAACATTTTGGTCGATGTTGCTGCCGGTACATGTTTCCTTCCCGAGGGTATCAAAATCTCAGTAGTCTGCACTTCTGTTTTGACATGCAATATCATTGTTATGGTCACATTTATAAATTAACTGCTTATGTTTACGAAACTTTGAATTGTTCGAAATACTAAGGATGTTTTACCCAGTGAATAGATTACCTTAGCTGTATTTGGTAAAACTTTTCGGACACAATTACAAATCTGTTATCTGTGATAAGTTTTTAGAGACTATGGAGATACACATATCTTATACATAAACCATACTTAGCGTAAGTAAGTATCGGACGTATTATATTTTTAAATGAACGATGGAACATATTTTAAACTTTATTATCTCCCTTTCACCAGAAGAAATTTCAATTAAAAACAAAGTTCAGAAAAATAGAGAACAAATGCATTATTAGCCTGTTATCTTTGATGAGTTTTATATGCATGTGAGATAGGTCGGAAAAAAGTAAAATCACAAAAATACTCAACTCCGAGGAAAATTTAAAACGGAAAGTCTTTAATCAAATGGCAAAATCAAATGATAAAACATATCAAACGAATGGACAGCAACTGTCATATTCCTGACTTGGTACAGGCATTTTCAAATGTAGAAAATGGTGGATTGAACCTGGTTTTATAGCGGTATAAAACGTCAGTTGTAGAAAATATGGACGTATTTTATTTAAACGACTCGTATACTTACGCTATGATATTGATTTTGCTGCTGACTAAATTGTAATCTTGATTCGGTGGATTTCTTTTGTGAGTATATAATTTTGAGTTGCAAATGTGCCTGATCAGTAACTGTCACAACCAAACCTGGAAATTAAAAGAAATTAAAATAACAAAATAAAGAATATTTAAAAGTTTTTTTTGACAGCCAAGGTTCCTCAAGATGGTGTTCAACAAACCTATAGGGAGGCTGAGCTAAGTTTGCTGTTAATATACAACTCAAGTTGAGGAAAATGTCATTTATTAAAATTTATCAGTAATTGAATGACATATTAACAATATTAATAGTAGCAAATAAATGACAATGACATTAAAAAGCAAAGGTGGGGTTGCAAACCTTGACCTCAGGCGAGAGATAAAGTTTTTACACTTATGATGTGAAATACTGCCCTAGACCCATATATATACCATGTGGCTAATCCCTAGATAAAACTACCATACAGTAGATATTACTTAATCCTCAATGATTATCTGAACTTGCAGACAAAAATGTTTTTATTTCCAATAAATTTATTTATTTGAAGTTCAATCAGTTAATAAACTGCACGCCCTGTTATGTCGTAATTCTTTAGAAAGTTGGTGCGTCCAACGCGTTTTCCGGAATTACCTTCATCTGGAACCCTAAAGCCAACTATTATCCAAGAACGTATACATATTTAATGATTTCAATGTCAAATTTATAGCAATTCATTACAAAGACTATTACTGATCATTACTATAAAGATTATCACGCTCCTATTAACAGGCAAAGTAAAATCGTTGATTTAACATAAGTAGATCAATTTGTTTTCTCCTTTTTACTAATCATTTTAGTTTTTTTTGAGTCAAATGCTTATCAAAAACTAAACGAAGAAGTTGATGGAACCACTTTCTATATCTTTTATACTTGTATATTGACTTTTGGTATCCAGATTGTTGCAATATGACTGACTTCTTGACCAATCAACTCATCATACGTGTCCAATAATCGCGAAGGCAATTTAATTCTTAAGGTACATGACAAAAACACTTACTGAGAGGCCATACACATCTAAAGTTCAATAAATTATGAGGAAACTGTTCAAACCACTTTGGAAATCTTTTTGTATGAAAAAACAATTGTGTTCTCAATAACTCATGTTTTAAGTAAGACTTCTCTCTTTGAGATAGTATGTGCTTAATCTGTTAATTTCATATTTATTAGATTAAAACATTTTAATATGAAGAAATACTTCAAATTGTAACTGTTTTATCCACATTGTAATGAGTACTTTCAAAATGATTTCCAAGAGAACAGATTTGAACGTTAGTGCATTAAATTGATGTAAATACAACATTTATATAATAGATTGACGACGAGTGTTAGAAGTTTTAAAAATATGATTTGTTAGCAAAAAAATACATTGAAAGTGCTGTTTTCCAGGATTTCATAATTGTTTTACAAAAAAATCATGCTTTTTGCATATTTGTCCAAATTACCACAACAGTTTTTTTTCTGTTATTCTATTTTGTTTTATCAGTGATCTCTATCTTTTTTTTTGACATCTTTTCTTTGTTAATTAGATAACATAAATCAAGTATTGGTGATTTAAAAGTAATTTTCTTTTCAATTTATTATTTCTTCCTGACATTTCCTGTTAGTATATTTAAATTAAGTTCCATTAACTTTAATTCAGAACCAAATTACAATTTACATTTAGAGAGTTCGTTTGGAATTCTCTGTATAATGTGACTTACTGTTGGCAACTCTTATTACTCTCCATGGTATAAGGAATGCTAGGATTTCAACTGCATCTTCTAGTGGATATTCCATCATACCTTTTATAAAGGCAAGATCTAGGACGAAGGATATAATCACAATTACACCATCAAATAGCTGAAATGAGATTTAATTTATAAATCATTATACTGCATTACCCATAGATACGGTTTACCAATCCTGATGATTTCGTCCGTTAGTGCAAGGCAATACTTAGAGCTGTTATTAATGATATATAGCTATTATACATACAATGTTGTTTTACACGGTCAAGTATTCACATAGCATTTAAGAGACTATGTTATACAGAATATAAAAATGTTTATATAATTTAGGCAACAGTACTTTATCGATGTTGAGTCGCTGACGATATTCTGTCATTTAGCTTATTTATAGAAATGGTCTTGCAGATAATTTTTCTTTTAGAGTTTCTCTATATCTTTTATAGATTTCAAGATAAAAGGGCAAAAACAAAAATGGTTAAAATAAATTATTTAAGGACAATCACTCGTATGAGGAGTCGTCTGACAGTTTTGGTCAATATGACTGGTGCGTAGATCTCGTCATTCTGAACATTTCTTCCCTTGTCATATTGTCTCTATCTAGAATGGTTAACAAGATAATAAATGATAAAATATTTGGCCCCTATGCCCTATTGTTTTTATTTGGCCTTGTAGTTTCAGAGAAGAAGATATTTGTAAAAGTAAACAAATGATTGGCGATGACGGCGGACAGACGATGGTCCCGAATTGCTAGCAATAGCTTATACTGGCTCTTTGAAACTTGAAACTTAGGGATTCACAAGAACTACAAAAGAAGTAGGACGTTGTACGTCGACAAGGTAGGATTTCCTGTTATAAATCACCCAATATGCAAATCCATAGCCAAATTAAGTCTGAGACCTCCCCCTAAAACGTAGATAGCTTCATGTATCACAAATGACTCATAAGTATGAAAATCAGGCTCAAATAGGATTAACAATCCGTCACATTTTGGAGGCACGAATATTTCTAAACTTGTTTCATTATTAGATTTTTCAGATGATTTGTTGAAATTTCAAAATAAAATAATATGACTGCGGCTTATGACAAAACACTTTTCAAAGTTTACAATGTATATCAAATTGTTTTCTTTATTTCGAGATATATATACACAGTACCTTGTTTTACTTGAATATTTCTTGCATTTTAGATTCACAAAGTTTACCTGAAGTTTTTTCTTGAATATTTCTTTTCCGTAACAAAATACTTTTAAAATAGTCTGTAAAAATAAAGAAAATAAAGAAATTATTTTTACATCAATCCAAACATAAAAATATCGACAGCACGGAATTTTAGTTTCTATCAAACTTTGTGTTTTTTGCTATTTCTCCGAACATAAAATATCATACAAATTACATATCTACTTTTCCCAACAACTTGGATGAGTAAGATTATCGCATAATTTGGAAAAAATATCTATTTTAGTTTTAGATGGGCACTGCAACTTTAATATGATCTGTATGGTTATGCATGCTAGAGGACCAAGGATCTTTCGTTTCAATCCAGCAGTGGCCTTTTATGCTCCTGTCGCACACTCCTTAGTATAAATACCAGTAACAGCTGCTCTGTCTTCAGTTTTTTATGTTGTGTTTTGTGTACTGTTGTTGGTCTTTTCGTCGTTTTTCGTTTTTTGCCATGGCATTGTCAATTTGTTTTCGACTTAAGAGTTTGAATATCCTTTTGGTATATTTCGTCTATCTTTTTCATTCATATCTAATCAAATACCGATGCTTACTTGCATTCGATACATTCAGAAATAATTGTTTTCACCAAAACCTTTAGGAAAATTAGTTGTGAAAAAAAAACACAAAGTTCAACGTTCAGCTCTTATCATTTTTCGAAGATATTAATAATTTTAAAAAGTAGCATTGAAGATTGTTCATGCATACTGAATGGAACTCGTTTAATAAAACAATACTGTCAATTAAGTAACATTTCTATTTCGTTATTACAGATTTAAAATATTGATTAGTGTTATCTTATTTCGCCAGGCGGTTTCCCGTTGTAATAAATAAGTCTTCGTTTACTTTTAATGTTTGTACATCAGTATAATATTTGTTGAAACCAGAAAGGTTGATGAAAGAGATCAATGTCTGTCAAAAAAGAAGACATATCATGATATTGATATCCTTTGTCTGTCACATTGTAGGCTTATATGAAATTAGCTATACCAAAAGATGTTTGAATGCAAATCATGGTGATTTCGGTAGTTTGCTCGACTAAATTATTTGTATTCAAGGATTATATCTACAATGAATGTGGACATTATATACCTTAAACAACTCATCAATGATACTAGGCTCATATTTTGTACACCAGACGCGCTTTTCGCCTAGAATATACTCATCAAAGACGCTCGAATCAAAAAAGTTAAACGGCCAAATAAAGTGTTACATTGCAAATCATAGAGGAGCCATTATTCCGAAAGGTTTTGCCAAAGACAGTTGAAAATTATGTTACTAGATTTAAATGTAAATTAAAAATTTTTGAGGTTTTAATTACTGAGAAAACTGCATTGTAATAGAATTCGGAATACTAAATAATCACAATTTCGATTTTGATAACATTATATGTATGCAGCATTCATTAAAAATGCAATAATTCATCTCTCATTTTTGTCTGTTGTTAAAAAATGACAATAATATGTGCATGTAAAAGTTTCTCAAGTTAGTACAAAGGGGACAAAAAACCATAAGTCAATGAATAAAATCATTTACAATGGGCAAAAATAAAAATAGAACAAAAAAGGCACACTACAGTCTTCAAAACACTACATACTGAGTAACATAATCCAAAAACCAAAACAAGGGTAATTTCAGTTGCTTTGGAATTGTGTTCCGGTTCTGCTCTTTTGTTACAATTGTCGTGTTGCTTATTGCTCATACATACAAAAATATATGATATATGACTTTTTTTTAGGATATTTGAAGATTTATCAATCTTACGTCCATGTTAACGCGCATTGTCATATTTTTATTATTAGCTAGAGGTTCAAGTGAATTGATGTGGATCAAGACCCAGCAATGTGCTGGGATTTGTGGTTTGGATTTTTTTTTAAGTGGCTAAAAATATATTGATCAGTAAGATACTTTCGATAACTTTTGTTTTATTACTTTTACTAAGCCACAGTTTGGTAATTTTACATTGCTATGTAGGTATGAAAAACTCATCAAATATACCAGGTTTATACTTTATAACCCCATACGCGCGTTTCGTACATATGTATTTTTGGGCAGTGATCTCAGCAACGTTCTTACTTGTTATGCTCCAAAATTCGCACATTGTAATATGCTTACCATTAAAACAAGGAAACCTAATATTGCTATACTAGCTTTATGAAATGCATGAGCTATATCTTCTTCTATTGTTGTAACTGTTGTATCCAAAAAAGTTGGCATATCTTGATGTGTAAATTGTTGAAAATGATCACTAGATTTGTTTGATAACGTCCGATTATATTTTGAAGGATGTGAAATTGTATTTATGACTGTGTTGAAATATGCAGGTACATCTAATGTGTCTATTAATCCAAATATTGCAGCAAACTCGGTCCGTAAGATAACCATGAACTTTTTGATTAAAACTTTTGAGTCGTTTACCATATCTGAAATTGTAAAACAGGAAGTTTATATTTCAAGAAGTTAATTAAATTATGTGATATCCGAAATGCATACATTCTTATATATGAAACACTATTCTATTTAAACCTGTCAGAAAAATAAAATAGTAAAAATGACGTGAAATGCTTTTAATCAGAAACTCTTTAATAACAAAATCATAATGGGTACATTTAATTATAGGAACAAAAGAAAATATATTAGTTCTAAATAATGTCCTTTACCGTCTTATTTGACGTCCCAATGGAAGAAGAGTTGTATATGAATAGGTCGTTACATCTTATTATTTACTTGCATTGGCAATTGTTATAATGCTTTTGAACACTAGTTAAGCTTTAGATGGCTTTTCTAATAAACTTCCTAGAAGATAAATAAAGATACACTGTCTGAATTGTTTTCGCTTACTTTTCACAGACAACTTATATTTGTATGGAAATGAACAACTTTTATCAAATATTTGTAGTGTAAACATTGGGTTTAGCATATGTATTAATCACAGAATTACACTATGCCTTGTTCATGCTATGAAATCTGCTCAGAGAAAGTAAACCCAAACAATTACCCCTGTTCACACTTATTAAAACTTAATCCACTTTGGGCTTTTTTCATTCAACAAAATAAGGCACGTATGCACCAAAATTGCTACTCGTATCTGTTTCATTCTATTCATCATTATTTCATTATTTCAAAGTCTGAAATATTTTTCCGCACTTCTGAGGGGTCAAAGGAAACCTGCATCATCCACCTTCCTTCCTATATTTTCGAATATATGGATAACTTTTTAAAGCATTAGCTTTATACATGATAAATAGATCGTAACATGTCCTTTTCCATGTCGGCCCTGCTGCCATCCCAAGATTCCCATATCAGCACAAGAAGCAAGCCTAGGGTTCATACGTTCGAGGGATGATACCAGGGCCTATACCAAGGACAGAAATAGCCGGCCATTTTTTCCGAGCAGATATATGACTAAGGCAATTTTCTGGCAAATTTGCGTGTATTACATTTGCAAACTAGAGGCTCTAAAGAGCATATTACGCTCACCTACATCTTCAACAATGGCCACTTTTTAATGAAAATCATCATTAAAGGGGAATAACTATATTAAGAGTAAACTGACTATTTCAGTAATTTTGACATTTTTGTAGATCTTATCCTGACTGATCATTTTTCCTTTTAAAGTTTCTATTTATCTATTATAGTTTTCAAGATTAAAGGCAAAAAAATGATAAACATTATTATGAAAGGGTAACAACTCTAATAAGGAGACAACTAACGATTTCGTCATGTTGACTTATTATTTAGATCTTGTCAAGCTGAATATTTTCCTTTTTAAAGTTTCTATCTATCTATAGTCAAAAATGCAAAAAAAATGTCATTAAAGGGCAATAACTTCAATGAGAAGTCAACTAAACATTTCGGTTGTTTAACTTACTTGTAGATCATTTTTGCTTTTCAAAGTTTCTGCATGTCTATTATAGTTTTCAAGATAAAAGCTAAAATGTAAAACATTGGGGAACATCGTCTTTAAAGGGCAATTATAACTTCGACAAGGTGTTGACCGACGATTTTAGTCGTTTGATTCATTTGTAGGTCTTGTCTTGCTGATTATTTTTGCTAATTAAAGTTTCAGTATATCTATTAAGATTTACAAAATAATACGCAAGAAAAAAAAATGAATGGTGAAATTCGTCGTTTAACGGCAATTACTCCGATAGAAGTCGTCTGGCAATTTTGATGTCAATATACAGAAGGTAGATCATACCATTCTGAACACTTTTGCCTCGTCAGATTTTCTTTATCCATAGCGGTTTTCAAGGAAATAGAAAAAAAATGCATTTTACCCATATGTTCTATTTTTAGCCATGTCGACCATGTTTGTCGACAGGCAGGGTCATTGTACACATTTTTAAAACTAGACACTTCATTGATGATTATGGCCAAGTTAGGTTAAATGTAGCCTAGTAGTTTCAGAGGAGATGATCTTTGTAAAAGTTAACTGACCACAGACGACGGACGCCAAGTGATGGCAAAAGCTCACACTGGCCTTTCAGACTATGTGAGCTTAAAACAAATGTTTTTGTAAATATACATATAACTGTTGTAGCACCTGAGCATACTTAGTCGTAAAATAAAGAAGATGATGATTAGACTTAGAAACGTCAATGAAAGATAATCTTCCTAAAGAGGGTATAATCAATCACATTGATTAAGGAAGGTATAATCATCAATCTTTAGACAACCATCCGTCCATATTTACCAATAATATATATTAATAAAGCAATTTAGCCAATTTTCAGTGATACGTTCGATAATTTGTTCTTCACATCGTGCTTACTGTGGTCAAGGTCTTGTAAATATAATGACCTTTCTCTGATTAAATACATAGAGAGCAAAATAGATAAGGAATGAATCGGGTTTCATAGTGAAAATGGTACTATTCACTATACTAGGTGCCATGAAAAATTGTTTTAGTAATGATTGTGAACGGATCGTTTATCTCTTTCGTGAAATTGGTACTAAACATAAATACCACGAAAAATATTTTTGGTAATATTTTTTCAAAGATGCCTTCTCTGCAGAACACTCTTCCACGATACCCTCCATACAAAACGTCGGACAATTTCATATATAACAAATTAATCTAATAATTCCGACACTGTACTGCGAATATAATCATCTAACGAATAATCATGATATATTATAATTCTATTGCTGCATTGCAAATTATCTGTGAAATATTATCAACATTTCAAATTATTTCCTTAACCCCCTGGTGATATTTAATAACTGCACTTTTAGAACGTTGATCTTTACCTTAATATATTTTCGAAAATATTTAGTTTGCTTACAATTGCTTGCAAATGTCTTGAACTTTATTACAGAACAAGTTTTACCTATCAGTCTACGGCGCAAGGAATGTATACATTCCATGCAGGTATATAATGAGTTTTAAGTAGTAATTCAACTGTACATTCAATTGGACATTACCTTATGCAAAAAATACACACACAAAAAAGAGTTGTGAGCAATTGCACATAAATTGTTTCACTATGGGGTTAAAAACCAAAAGTTAACGAAACTTGGTGGAATTGGATATTGAAGATTCTATATTCCTAACAATATCCAACAATTGTACAAATATGCATAAAATCAAAACGCTTTTGATTGATTGCTAAACTTTGATACTAAAGACACTTTCAATACAATATCAATAACATAAACGAATTAATTCTTAATTAAAGACAATGCATGGCCTTCCTTCTAATTGAATTGTGGTTTACGTTACATCAGTAATACTACATTTTATTGATAAAATAAGATTTATGTTTACCCCGAAATTCTCGTAACCTTCAGTAAACTGTTTCATATCTAAGAAACACATTTGAATTGGTGTTCTCCATATTTATATGTTACAATGAATACATGTTTAATACATGACATGTGTCGAAGAATTAATACCCTGAACTAGTTATTTTTGAAAATTTGAAGGCAATCCTTTTATATCCAACGTTATTCAGTTTTCAGATTTATAAGGTATGTTAGATGTTACATTATCTAATACTTGCCTTTTATAAAGTGTATATCTAAAATTAATTCACCAAGAACCAATCCACAATCGATGATGTTTAAAAGCACGATCAAAAACAGAACTTTTTTACTATGTAGGAGTTTCTCACCAGACCTTCGTAAACTGTAACAAGAAAAGTTTGTAGTGTTAAAAAATTATGTTTTTTAATCAGTCATACGAGACGCTAAGTTGTTTCTTTATTAAATCATTCAGACTTGATTTTGTTTTCTGTTACTTTAGAAATGAGGCATATTATTTGTGTTGTCTTAAACTTACTTCGTATTTTAATGTCACTTTTTCCTTATTCGTTTTGTTTTACAAATTCGGTATACTCCTTTTTTTCTTCTACAGACTATACATGTCTATTGTATTTCTTACTACGATTCAGGTCATAATTTCAACCTCTATGAAAGTTTTGCACGAAAGACATGCAAATTATATACATGCAAGATTTAGTTAAGCAGTTTGGTTATTGCCGTTTTAATTCATCGCATGTTAAGTTTTATTATCGTTATAAAAATATATCTGAAAAACTGAAGAAAAAAGCGTGATACTGATGTCCGTGAAAAAAACACGTGTTCCTAAAATAACTTTTATCATGTGCATTCGAGACAAAGCGTTTAGAATATCAAATAATAAAAAAAGTTTGGAGAGCTTTAAAATCGAACAGACCTGGAGGGAACAACAAAACTTTTATTGTATTTTTAATTTCCATGTTCTTTGGTATAAGAAATTCCTTTATTCCATATTTAAAATTTGATTCAATTAAAATCTGTGTAATCTGTAATTTTAGTGTAAAATTGTTTAAGTGTTTTTCCTTGTTTATTTTGTTATAGAATGGAAATTGATTATTTCAGACAAAATGATTAATGCCTTTTACAATTTTTAAAAGTAAAATAAACATTTGTACCATTAAATTTTCTTTGCAGTCATATACATATAAAAGGAATATGCAGCATCATATGGATATAATAGATATGTCTATTAGCTGTTAGTCTACAACCTTGAGAAAGGAAACAGTTATATTTCTATAGAAGCAAAATCGAAGTATAACTAGACTAATTTAAAGTGTGCGAAGCACTTTTTTGGCTTAATTTACATTTGGTAAATTAGATAATAGGATATTTTTTTTATCCATTTGGCTTTTTAAATAGAAAAAATAACATTACATAAGAGTCCATTTTTACTTTACTTGTGCAATCAATTCATACAAGTATGATCATGAAATATATTGGCAATGGATTCACATCAAACTGGGAGAACGCATCTTTTTAATGCAAAATGTCCATTAATATATTGGCAGAGGATTTTAAGATCATGCATACGCTTATTACACACAAATTGTGCGCGATATCAATTTAAAAAGTAAAAATTTTCAATGTTTATCTTTTTGGCGCACTAAAATCGGTACGATAAATACGTTTATATCATAAACAAAATTTGTAAAGGGTTCCGTGGAACCCTGTTTCTCGCCTGTAATTGCTGCTGTCAGTGTCATAGTGTTATATTGACTGCCAAAACTTCATTTATTAGAAGAATAAGTAAGCAGAAATATAAAAAAGGAAAAAAATAAGTATAAAAAGTAAATACACGCAAATAAGTACGAGTTTATATGGTTTAAATTTCTGTTCTATCCTGAATTCGACATCTGTGTTTTGTATATGTAACTACATTGTCATGTTATTGAAATATTTTTTCGTCTTAGTAAATATAATTCCAATGACCACAGAAAGGGGTTTCTTTTTCTATTATAAATATACTCTGACAGTTCTTGATATAGATATGTAATCTTACATGTCTCCAAGTTTTTCTGGTTCTTTTGATTCTCTCTCAAGTTCTTCCTCTAAGTTTTGCTCAATTCTTTCAATTGAGAAATCAGGTGTGGACATTCGTCTAGCGACATTTTCCACAGCCTGTAAACACATTAATATCACTACAGTTCTAATGATGATAAAATATATTACACAATTTTTGTTTTAAGTATTTTGTCTACGGTAAATATATGACATGGAGCATAAAGTACTACCACCGCGATCTTTGGCAAGAAATTATGCAATCAATTCTTGTCAGTTAAGATTGGAGTCGAACAAATCTCGCCATGAGCCGGGTTCGAATTCAAAAACCTTAGAGTTGACAGTCGTGTGACCATTGCAGATGGATGAACTACTTGGACCACTGGGCACCGGACCCTCATTCAAATCGGGAAAGAATTTTTCAGGCTTACGGATTGAGTACAGAAAAGGATATTTTTATTTCATGGGTCACAACTTCCGCAAAGATCGTTCTACCCGTTAGAAACTAAAATTTATTCTGTACGCTCTTTGGCATGACTATATACTAAAAAACTAATCAATTGTTTCAGGCGTAACAGAAAAACTGTCGAAAATGATAATATCGAGAAATTTCCTTGTCCAACATTTGAAAAAAAAATAAAGACGGATTAAAGGACAGACGGCATGCAAACTTACAGTCCCCTTCAACTTCGCCGGTAGGGGGCAAATAAAATATATACTATAAAAGTTGAGATATGTCAATCCGACAACATCCCAATGACACAAAAGTAACTCTAGAGGTCAAATCTAAAATATGATGTCAATACTATTTAACAGAGAAAACCAGAGATTTGCAATTAACACAAAATGCCCATAATGATACATTTCCAGAATAGTCCCTGTCCCTTTCCTCTTCCGTCCACTGCGCATGTATTGTGCATAATTATCATACACATATATCATTCAAAATAAAATGGGGCAGACCAGTTTACCTCATTCCGTTCTGCTAAAGTTGTTAATTTCTTTTTAAAACAAACTTTATTCTAGTTGTTTTTATCAAACGAATGAGAAGATTTATCTAAACTGATGTGTTCTTCATAAAATTTTGTGTACGGAAACGTTGACCACACGGGTCCTTTATTCTTATTTCAACGAGAAAAAAAATAATGACTGACGGACGGACGGACATCTGATTTCAAGTGATGACAATTATTTCTTGAGACAATATAAGCTTAATCAAGCAAAAAATAAACGGAAAAGGAAAAATCGTTAAGGAAGTTGCTACGGTAAACAAAGTTTGTAAACTCACAAGAATGTAATTAACTACAAAAATAAAAAAATAAGGAGAAAAGAAACAACAACAAAAACATGTGGATATCGGAAATGATTGTATGTACATATAAAAATAAGAAGATGTGGCATAATTGCCAGCGAGACAACTCTCCACAAGAGACCAGATGACACAGAAATTAACAACTATAGGTCACCGTACGACCTTCAACAATGAGCAAAACCCATACCGCATAGTAAGCTATAAAAGGCCCCGAAATGACAAATGTAAAACAATTCAAACGAGAAAACAAACGGCATAATTTATGTACAAAATAATGAACGAAAACAAATATGATACATAGAAACAAACGACAACCACTGAATTACAGGCTCCTGACTTGGGACAGTGTGTCAGTATTACTTTAGGAAAATTTAAAATATACTCACATGAAGCATATTTTCATGAAAATCATATTATCTCGAATATATTTGTCCAAATTAAGAACAAACAAATATCGTCTATGTAAATGTATTGAAAGAAAGTTCACTTTCACCACAAAACAAATATGTATTTTTTGTACATGGAAAATTGTTACTTATATATTTACTTCTGTATCTCCAACTTATTATATAATATGATAATAACAAAAAGCTTGATGAAAATTGTACCAGCAATATCAATTAATAATTTGAAATGTTTTATGTAAGTATAAAAGACGAAACACACTACAAAAGCATAAAGATATCAATCAAGTGCACCTTTTTGTTATATAAAATCATAATTTAGAAGACAAGTAACATTAAGAGGAAGTTTTCTACCAGAAGAGTTGAAATTGAGAGCAACTTTTACAAGCGTTCGACTTTAAAAGAAGATGGAATACAATTACGTAATATTCCACTTTCATTTGCTTGATTTATTTCTTGTATTAAATCACGTCAGTTTAAAAACTTCTCAAGAGAAACGAAAGTACGAGTTCTATGATAGTTTGGAAAATTGTTTTGAAATGGAGTATGTACCTTTTCTAAGAAGAAGGAAAACTTCAAATGTTATTGCGTTTTATGATCTGATATTTGTTACAACATGTGGAGTTATTCAGCGTAACCGGAAATGCTTTTCTTCAATCCTTTAAGATCTCAAGGTTCAGCAAAAGAAAACAAAACATTAAATAAAGCTTAAGACCAATTACAAGGGTACATTGGCATTATTACAAAGAATTACATAAAAGTAAAGGTGTTACCTTCAACTTAATGTATGCTATGTATATTTGTATGTGCAAAAAAACATTAATACCTTGCTTCTGGTTCAAATGGACAAACGGACAACATACCATTTCTTTCAGGGAATGCTTAACAAGCTTGTTAATTGGCTAATTATAATTACGAAGCCATTTTCACTTGAAATATTGTTGTCTAATTGTCGAAGTCAAGGTTAAGATATTGAAAACTTCAAAAAGTATATTTTAATGTGTTGTTTAACGATGATTCACAAAGGCTATTTTTTTCTAAAACATTACTGGAACCTTGTTCATCATACGTCAATGACTGATGATGAAGTACAGTCTGATAATTACGCAGCTCTATGACAATTATGATTATTGCTTGTTTAATTAACAAAAGAATATTCAACAACAACAGGTGTTCCAAAAGACTATACCAACTGCAGAGTTAATAGGTTTAATGTTAATTATGATTCTTGTTATCTAGTTTATGCATTACTAAATGGAAAAGATTCGTGAAATCATAATTTTAAGCAAATGATCAGTCCTATAACATCTTTTTTTTTCTCTCATTCAAACATTTAAAGGGAATTATGACCTAGAAAAAATAGGTTTAAACCGATGAACTGCCAAAAATATTTTAAAAAACACACAGGTTTTTTTCTGAAATTAAGTATAATTTGAGACAGTTACTTTCAATTTTCAAAAGGCGAAGCTGGTTGACCGTTTTGAATATTTAAAATCTTACTTTCGAGAGAACAAAAATATATGGTGGCGCAATATGTTTCATAATGATTAAACTGATATGCAGGAAAACTTTGAGATTCGTTAAAAATGCTCTGCAAACAATTCATTTTGTTTGATATCACCAGGCATGGTCACCTTTAGTCATTACGTCACAATAGCAAAATCAGTCGACGGCAAACAAAAAATTGACGTCAAAATCAATTTTTACCTATGAAGAAATGAGAAAAAACGAACCACGTGATGTTTATCATTATCTATGATAGTGTCGTCTGTTAAATATCTACACTAATATATACTTACTTTAACGGCCCTGTAAGCCACTGATGGTCTTCTAGAGCCATGAGCACTATACATCCCTGCATGTAATCCATGTTCGTGTTGAAAAGGGAACGATTTCTTCCGAGTGTAATGTGTTGTTGAAGACAGACTCTCTTTTTCCATTATCGTTTCCTAATCAAAATAAAATGTAAATATCGTCAAAAAATTATTTAAATCTGAAAATGTGAATTTATATGCATGTATATTCAGATTACGTACTGTTTTGGTATGAAACAGTCTTTTAACCATATTGGTTGGAATGGCCATAAACGAAGCATACTTCATTGTTAACTTTTAAACACAATAAAAACTTTTTTTATATGCTGCATCCGTCTTCCCGAGATAGAAAGTATGTGTTCGAGTCCCATACAAAACAGATTTAAGAACGGAAATGATGTTTGTTTTCATGTTTTTATTATATAGTCCGTTCCCATCATGCATGTTTTACAATGTTTGTTTCAATTTGTAAGATGTAAATTATGCTACTGACACTAAAGAACACACGTTGACAAATGCTACATACATAATAATGTCAGATGGACGTGTTAAAATGTTCGGAGAACAAATTGGTTCAGCTAATGACTGTGAAAATACAAATAGTGAGGAATTTTAACAAGATTTTTCGCATGGCAATTACACGCCTGGAGGATATTATCCTAGTTGTGTATCAATTATACAATAATCATTTAATACTAACTTGTTATACTTCAATCAATAAATAGTTATTAATTTGCCACTTAACATTCAGCACAAAAAAATGTATATGGACAAAATCATACTATATCAGCGCCATGAATTTCTATTATAATTTGAAAAACTTAAAACACGTACTTTGTATTTCATGGGAATTTTGCAGTGATGTTTGCTTTGCAAGTATTTGGAATTTAGCAAAGCATTATTTATTACGGCACATGAATGGTGTATACCCTAGGTAATACGTCAAGACGGTTGGCTTATAATTATGACGCCAATGCTTGTAACCTATGACATACAGTATTAAAAGTGCAATATTGATGCCATGCAGTATCAGAAAAAATTGTATTACCCATCTGATATTATCTCATGACTGAAATAATACCATTCTAAAAAAATAGTATCATCTAACATCGACTGACGGATTTACGTAATATCACAAAACATCATAAGAATAAAATTCATAAAAAGACACAAGGTTATGTAGATGAGATTGTTAAATGTAAAAGAAAAGGTAAATTTTTTATTCAAAGCTTTGGTCTAAAAACAAAATAACGACACTGATGGTTCTATCTACTCCGATGGCTGACAATACCCCTTTTATTTGATATATATTTGTATATAAAAATTGACAACTCCACATTATTTTCCAATTTTAATGTATGGGTTTTCAAAACAAAGCAGAGCTTATATCAGAACGTCAAAATACAATTCAAGTGAATATCAACCAAACGAGAAGTTCAATTTTCAAAAACTTTAATAACATCTTAGCAACAATATTTTCTTAAAATATAGCCTTCGAGAAAACTGTATTACTGTTAATTTGAAAAGTAATACAATATGTTTGATACCGGTTTAAAACAATTATAATATACCAAGCAAACAAGTAACTATAATTAATATATAATACATATTTATTTTACTACTATTAAAATATTTTCATAAGATATGTATACTGAAAACCTATTGCATTAGAAACCCCATTTTTGACAAGAGTGCTCCAATAATGATGGTCATTTAGACTTCTCTCGCTTCTCCCGTCCGACGGTAAGACCGAAGTTGAGGGGGCATCCTAGTGGATGTTATTGAAAAATACGAAGTCACGTGCGACTAGAATTGGGTGTATCACGCGATGTTCAAAACTACAATGTAGGAGAACGTCACGTTCTATGAAGATCAAAACTTTTCCAACAACTCTTTGTGTCTTTGTGAGAATTTAAGCACCAGAAATCATCCCTAGTTTTGCTTAAAAGGGGTTAGTGTTGCTCTTGCTTTCGGTTTTAGTCGTGTTGCTCAGTCTTCAATTTCTATATTGTGTTTTTCTATACTGTTGTTCGGGTTGGGTTTTTTTTTGTCATGGCGTTATCAGTTAGTTTTCGACTTATAAGTTGGAATGTCTCTTTGGTATCTTTCGCCTCTCTTTTACATTTGACCTTTTGCATCAAAGGAATATGTTTACCTATGACAGTTCCTTTATTCTCGCACGTCATTGCGCATGACCATTGAATATAACTACACATATAAAACCTAACATCACTTAACACCTAGAGGAGTATTGTTACACAAACTAATGATCTTCATAGAAAATAGACCAATGTCGAGTTTTTTTTTTTTTTATAAATGGGTTACACCAGTTGACCCGAGGTCATTTGGTGTAAATGCCGCCGTTGAGCCATCGGTTCTTACTGTAACGTAATAACATAAGTATTGAGACATAGAACATGTACTGGAAAATGCACGAATTTGAAAGTAGTATTATAGTAGCAATTACAACGACTCTCTCTATAAATGCAGTAATAAGTCGTGAAAGTAACAAATGGCTCGAATCAATCGGTTTCATTTCGGTGTACCGGAGAATCGTGTGTTATTTTACAACTCAACTACTGACATCAAAGCAGTTCCATCATTGGTATTATAAGAATAGATTTTTGTGCACTGAATTGCAAAATATAAGTCTGTGGATATGAATCCATTGTTTCTCTCACCAAACCGTTCTGCCCTAATGATGGAGACGTTTGGGATGAGTATAGAGAGCTGTTCTTTGTTGTTGATTTGAAGAGACTGCGTTTAAACTTCTCCGTATTCTAAAATATAACAGAAAAAAAAAGAAGTTTTATCATAATCGAATAAACGAAACTATTTCATCCAGGCAAAAAAAAAAGGCATAGGTACTTTAATTCAGTCATGGACCCGCGGATGTCGCGGGTGTGTTCTAGTTTACATAAGTATTTAGGAAAATAACTTGGAATATTATATCAACCTCGCATTTCAAATTATGGAACAATTTTGAAATCAATCACTTAATATCAGTTTTTACCTATTGGTATATAACTGAAAATGTTATACAACCAATCTGGGAACAGTATATCTATATATGTAATATATATGTTCCCAAGCCAATGCTCGTTTAATCTAGGACTGAATTCTGAAAATAAAAATTTTTTACTTAAAGAAGCATTTATATTGTCAAAACTGCTGGACTCGCATGGTACTTATTCTTGGTATACGTATGCCATGAATATTTCACCAAACCCAGACCTTTTAGATAAAGTTAATGATTGTAGGGACATGAAAGAAATAAACTAAATAAAGCTCTTGATTAAAAATGAATTTAAAGAAAAATATAACAATATTTTTGAAAATAGAATAAATTGTGATGATGAAAATAGTTAACTGTTACTTTATAAAAATTTAAAACTTAACTTAGATAGGGAATTTTATTGAGCTTCCAATGACTTTTCTATAAGAAAATGCTTCACTCAGTTGAGAATTAGTGACCTTTATTTAGAAATAGAAAAGGGTCGATATTACAAAATTCCTAGAAAGGATAGAATATGTAAACTGTGCCACTTGCTGGGGGATGAAAAACACTTCCTCCTTGAAAGTAAAATTACCAAAAACCTAAGGGATAATCTATTTGAAAATTGTTTACCAACTCATAATTTTATGTCTCTTACCCAAGAACAAAAAGTAAAAGAAATGCTAAACCCCTCTACCATGGAACATGTTAAAAATATTGGCTCCTTTATATAAGTCATTAGAACTGAGGGCAGAAGTCTTATAATTTTTTTCCATGTGTTCATTTCATATAGAATTGTTATTTCTTTGCTATATTATTTTTGTTTTCTGTATTGTTTTTGTCACAAACTAATTATGTTTATATGACAATAAAGATATTTAATTAAACAAATAATTTGTCACTTACCATGAATTGAAATATGTTACGAAACTTCCATGATAAAATTGCGTATTTTTAAACTTGTCAACTAGTTTTAGTGATATATACAGAGTATCATAAGCAAAACTGTCAGATAGATATACATTTACTTTAAGAAAATAAAACATTCAATATTTACCTTTTGTCAATATTCAGCTGTGACAGGAGGATGTTAATGCCGTCTAGTTTCCAATATGCAGTTGGAACACACAGATCAAAATATCGAGAACTCGAATAAAACGTTCTGTTGGTAAAGCAATATGAATAAAGTACGTTTGAACAATACAATTCACGTGTACAACATACAATAGTCAAAGAACATTTGTGGTGACAATCAAAATGATTATTAATTACATGTACAATGAAATCACACTTACGTGTCAAGTAATGTATATTAAAAATTTTATTTTTGCATTTGACTTGCATAACTGTGTGTTATTAAATCAAATATCAGACAGTGATTTACGCGTGATATGAATTGAAGTATAAGTATAGTATACTAAGTAGTATTACCATGACAAAGGAACCTTGAACAATGTAGATCTAAGTAATCACAGTAGAATGTGTTTGTCTTTTGGCCGTTTTTCGTCTTTTGCCTTTGAGTTTTTAGTTTCGCTTCGACTTTTGAGTTTTGAATATCCCCTTGTTATCTTCTGCCACATTCATTAAAAATTTAATCCTGCTCAGGCATTTTGCTTGCCTTAATATGGGGTACAGAAATATGGTCATCCCTTGGTCTTTTTCTTACCGACAGTAAAGCCCTTGCCGAATTTGGACATCCGTTTGACTGAGCAGTGTGTAAATTTGTAGCAACGTCCAGTTAAATCCGGTGCCCAGTGTAGAGAGAACAATCAATTCTCTTCACGTTAAGAACCATTGCAACAACATTTTGCGGGGTCCGCATATGGCCTGTTGCAAAACTAAATTTATTTCTCTATCCAGTATCCTTTCATTTTTCAGTGGTATTTCAAATTTTCCATCCATTATCCCGATCGACCCCTTACTGCAGAACCTTCCTCGTGTATTATTTGTAAATGTGTCCTCGTCCTGAACATACCTGGAATATTTCCCAGTGGACGTAAAGCAGACAACAATTATGAAGTCAGTACATTTATGTTAATTCGCTTTCTGGACAATTCAGTATTTATTGTTTTTCAATAATAACATCAATTGAACACTAGGAAAACAGACAAACCATATCTTAATTGACCACTTGCGAAGT